CGGTAGATGCCTGGATGTGGCTTGTGTGATGATTGAATGCAATGGCTCTCTTGAATGCAATGCAAGCCCGGAAGGACTAAGGGCAGTCTTGGATAGGTGAAGGTAATGTTAGTGGCTCAAGAAAAAAAAAATATAGCGGCTAGGGGTCAGGGCGATGCCACCCCACCCCAAGGATGCCGTAGGGGCTGCCTTGAGTCACTAGACTTAGTGAAAAGGTGTGTGGCCCAATGGATGACGCTTGGCCTAAACACGAAAGAAGACGAAATCTCAATAAGTTCCCTGGACTACCTGCGTATTGGAAGGAGCAGTTGCTTGATCACACTTAATTGAATCGAGAAAACGCCACGAGTGACCAAAGAGCTACCATCTTGACGCGAGAGCGGAGCTACATCCCCCAATGTAAAGCCCTCTCGCAATAGGCCCATCCCCATCCATCTCATAGCACTAGGTGGGGGTGCCCCTGGGACGAACGGCCCGTGCCCTGAGCGTGAGCGTGGGCGGGTCGAGCCAAATGGGACCCGCAGCGGGGTCGACTCAGGCTCGAAAGTCCTTCAGGGTACGGGCCACCACTATATAGGACTGGCTTGCCCTGCAGGCCGGGAGGTAGTTTCTAGGTACTTCCCAGACACTTTACGTGCAGTTCAGGAGGCAAGAGGTAGTCTTCAGGATTCGGCCGCAGCACTCTGAAGGAGCATTGCATGACAAGTTGTAGCGCTAGCAGTAGTCTTCAGCGCTGGGCGTTAGTAACGTTAGCAGTAGTCTTCAGCGCGGGGCGCGATAGGAGCTAGAGTAGTACTAGAGAGAGAGAGATTGGGCGAAGGCCAGGGATACTTACCTGCAGCGCCGTAGCTCCAGCTTCGCCTTCAAGGTACCTGCAACACAGCGCCATCTTCACAAGTTAGTACCTGGCATATGAGAGAAAGAGAGAGAGTTCTTCTTCTTCCTCTTCTCAGTCCACCATCTCCCACTCACCCTCTCGCTACCTGACTTCACTGCATCTACAGACTACTTCGTTTGCTCCCCTCCTCTTCGTCTGTGCATGATCAGGGCCTGGCGCCTTCTCCCTGTGTATAGCGCCAGGTCTCTTCACACCTTGTGATACAAATGATGATGTTTAGTCTGCGTTGCAACATTGATTGGGCTAGTCATTGATATTCTAGCATTCTGCTACGCTATTTTGCACTACGTGATAGAGGTCAATCTCGGTTAGGTCAGGACTTGTATCTAAGTCTACCCTGCGCCTGCGTAGCACGACAAACATGTTCGCGGGCCTTCCCGTTCGGGCGAACACGTTCGCCACTTCGCGCGAACGGGTCGAGAACACGTTCGCGAGAACATGTTCTCGAGGCCCGCGAACGGGTTTCGCCCGGGCCGATACCGGTCGTCGGCGGGGGTTCGGAAGGCCTGAGTGTCAGTGGTCGCCCGTGTGTGGGGGGGCGCAGACGCGGGAATCGGGTCCAAGGAGAGGAGCAGGGGGGGAAGGGTCAGTTTCGAATTCGAATCATTCGAGACTGCCCTCGCAGCGCCCCACGCTCCAGCTGCTGCCACGTCCGGCGCCCATCGCTGCAAGGAAAGAGTCCCCGCGGCCCCTCATCGTCCTCCTTCTCCTCCTCCTCGTCCTCCTCCTCGTCCTCCTCCACCTCCTCCATCTCCTCCCCCTCATCAACTCCGACCGTCGTCCCACGGCTGCCACGTCAGCACGGTCGACATTTTTTGTTATCGTTTTTTTTAATCTTCTTCTGCTTCTTTTCTTCGTAACATCTTCTTCTTCTTCTTCTTCTTTTCCTCGTCCTCCTCGTCCTCCTATTCCTCCTCCTCCTCCTCCTCCTCCTACTCGTCCTTCTCCACCTCCTCCATCTCCTCCTCCTTGTCAAGTACGTTCGTCGTCGCGTGGCTGCCACGTCAGCACGGGCGACCATTTTCTTTCCTTTTTATTTTATTCATCTTCTTCTTCTTCTTCTTCGTCATATCTTCTTCTTCTTCTTCTTCTTCTTCTTCTTCTTCTTTTCCTCCTATTCGTCGTCGTCGTCATTGTCGTCGTCCTCCTCCTCCTCCCCCTCCTCCTTCTCCTCCTTCGATCGTCGCTGCGCGGCTGCCACGTCAGCACGCGCGACCATTTTTTTTTGTTTTTTTTTTATTCATCTTCTTCTTCTTCATCTTCTTCGTCATATCTTCTTCTTCTTCTTCTTCTTCTTCTTCTTCTTCTTCGTCTTTTCCTCCTCCTCCTCCTCCTCCTCCTCCTCCTCCTCGTCGTCGTCCTCCTCCTTCTCCTCCTCCTGCTCCTCCTCCTCCTCTTCCTCCTCCTCCTCCATCTCCTCCTCCTCGTGAAGTCCGATCGTCATCGCGTGGCTGCCACGTCAGCACGTCCGACCTTTTTTTTTTTATCATCTTCTTCTTCTTCTTGATATCTTCTTCTTCTTCTTCTTTTTCCTTTCCTCCTACTCCTCGTCGCCGTCATCGTCGTCGTCCTCCTCCTCCTCCTCCTCCTCCTCCTCCTTCTCCTCCTCCTCTACCTCCTACACCTCCATGTCCTCCTCCTCGTGAAGTGCGATCGTCGTCGTGCGGCTGCCATGTCAGCACGCGCGACCTTTTTTTTTCCTTTTTTTTTTTATCATCTTCTTCTTCTTCTTCTTCTTCTTCTTTTCCTCCTACTCCTCGTCGTCGTCCTCCTCCTCCTCCTCCTCCTCGTCCTCCTCCTCCTCCTCCTCCTCCTCTACCTCCACCTCCATGTCCTCCTCCTCGTGAAGTCCGATCGTCGTTGCGCGGTTGCCACGTCAGCACGCGCGACCTTTTTTTCCGTTTTTTTCTTTAATCTTATTCTTCTTCTTCTTGATATCTTCAGCTTCTTCTTCTTCTTCTTCTTCTTCTTCTTCTTCTTCTTTGTCGTATGACTCATATCTTCTTCTTCTTCTTCCTCTTTTAAGTCTTATTCTTCTTCTCCTTTCCCCCTCCTCCATCTCCTCCTCCTTTCGTCTTCTTGTTCTCCTCTTCTCCTCTCCCTCTTCCCCCTCGTCCTCCATCTCCTCCTCCCCTAGTTTAGTCGTGTCGGGCAGCTGCCACGTCAGCACGTGCGACATTTTTTTTCCCCGCTTTTTGTTAATCTTCTTCTTCTTCTTCTTCTTCTTCTTCTTCTTCTTCTTCTTCTTCTCTCCTCGTCCTCGTCCTCCTCCTCCTCCTCCTCCTCCTCCTCCTCCTCCTCCTTTCGTCTTCGTCTTCTCATTCTCCTCCTCCTCCTCCTCCTCCTCCTTTCGTCTTCTTCTTCTTCTTCTCTCCACCTCCTCCTCCCCGTCATCTTCCTCTTAGTCGCGCGGCTTCCATGTCAGCACGTGCATCTTCTTCTTCTTCTTCCTCTCCTCCTCCTCCATCTCCTCCTCCTCCCCCTCCCTCGTTCTCC